ACTTGAAAATGTTTATAAATATTTAATATTAACATTTCAATGATACTATTGATTGATTCCATTAATTCTATGATGGCACTTGTTGAAGTGTTCTACACTACTGTATCTGATCATATTAAACATTTATAATTCATGCCTGAGAAGTAAATAATAGCTTTATTACTGCTAAAAGTATCCACATATTTTATTACTTCAGATATAATTTTCAGTGAACATTATTTGATTTCATTTAGTTTTCTACTTGGGAATATTGATATTTAACCAACTTCTTTGAACTTGCACTCTGGGAAATTGATATATAACCTTCATCTCTGAAGAGAATTTATTAAAACCAGCAGAGAGAGTCATTTCATATTTAATAAATTTTCATTCTTTCAAACACACATAATCTATGTGTGTTTGTGTCTGTCATGTTTTCATTTTTATATTTCTACGTTTTCATCTTTAGTGCTATGAATGTGTTATAGAAACTTTCATGAACATCTGTAAATCTTTTATTAGCCTTTTTCAAATAAGGTATAAAAGTTGCTTTGCTTTATAAATGCTAAGGAAGACATGCATTATGTTATATATCCAAAACTTCATTGGTTTTGCTACCCTGTTTTCTTAGGCCTATCATTATTAATTCACTAGGAGGGACAGTTGGTAACTACAGGAATATATTTTCTACTGAGAAGACAATCTAAAATGACTAAATGTCATGATTAAAACATGGGAAAACCTAAGCCATGATTTTTATACTTGAAGTTAAATTATAACTTGCATTATTAAATAAAAGAGTGAGGAGAACATTCACAATGGCAACTATTTAGCGTTACCTCCACAACCTTTTTGTAGCCCTAGTATCCCAATACATAAAAATGGAATAAATCTATTTTTATTAGCACAGTTCAATGAGCAATGTGAGTTCTAGAGCAGATTGCTTGAGAAACATGCTGCAGCTCTGAGTCTCACATTACTCAGATGAAAACAACTGCAATATTGGCTCAGCCAAATTCCAAAATCCCTTTCAGGATTAAGAAAAAAGCATATGATATTCCAAAAGTGTATAATAGTGTAAAGATAGTTTATGTTTAGCCTATTATTGTCTAGAAATCCATCTTGTATCTAAGGTACTGATTTTCTCATATGTCCTGAGTCTTAATTGACCTTAGAAGGTTAGGGCCAAAATGTTGGTATCCCTTGTAGCCCTCCTTTTTCTCTAATTTTGGTCTGCAAACTTAGGTTGTTAACCATCCAGAAGACAAGCTTATTGTTATTATCAAACAATTTAGGCTATCAAGCTTAACCTCACTATCTCACTGCATTTCAAACATCTTAGGCATAATAAGGAACTGGTATTTTTCATCAAGTATTGATATGTTGAACTTTAAGTCCCTGCATAATATGATAAAAACATTTTAAAAATTACATTATATTTTTAAAATAGGATAAAGAATTATATATTTCTCATGTTTGCACATAAGTCCAAAAATCTCATCATATACAACCTTGAAGCAGGACAGTCCCACAATATTCCTTTTCCTGTCTCTTGCTTTCATTCACCACCCCCTTCTTCTTGAACATCCACCTACCTGAGAGACATCATAGCAGTAAATGGCATGTCATGACAAGCCGCCCATATTCAGACTACCAGAATGACAGGCACTCCAAACATGAAACTACTGTTACAAATTACCATCTGCAGTGCAGTAGCTTAGTTCACAGGTATCAGATTTTCTGTCCTTATTAACTATTCAGCCATGTAAAGAATTTGCTGTTTTAATAGTCGCCGGCTGACCATCTGTTACTTTAATAATTGTATAAAGTATTTCATCTTCTACATTTTAACATTTCCTGAATTATACTGACTGAGTCTTCCGCATTCTTGGAGGAAAAAAAAAAGAATTTTCCCTAAGCTGATTTTAACATTGTGGTTTATATCTCAAACTTAGTAGAGAAAGAAAAAAAATATACAAATCAAAATATGAACACATTGCCTCATCCTCATCATCAGTGAAGTAAATAGAAGCTGTCCATGTCTAGAAATCACATCCACTGATATAGAAAATAGTGGACTCTTTCCAACCCTATAAAGAGCAGGGAAGAAGTTGTGTTAGAAATCTGACGACTCATAAAACTAAATATTAACGAAAATCTGTTCCAAAAGATGATGGTTTTTAATACAATTTTGCTTTAAATTGTGAAGTGAATACTGTGTATAATTTATGTAAAAGGTTAGTATACTAATTATGATTACAAATTTAAATTTCAAATGAACACTAAGTTATTTATATCTGGGAACACTTATGGTTGTCGAAACCCCTGGGCTACACCAAAAGAGTAGATTTTTTTCTTTCTTTGAGAAAATAAAATGAATTTAAGTTTAAAGGACTGACATGATCCAATCTACATGTAAAGCACAATGAGATTTCTTAATTTAAATTTTAGTAGTGAGATAGAATATAGTAGCATTATGCAACAATTATAAATACTTCCTTGCAATTCATCATTTCTATCGTGAAAACTACTATAAACAAAATACAAGAAGACAAGTAGCAAAAATCGGATCAACATTTAAAAACAACTTTATATAACTATGGAATAACAAGTTATATATTACAACAAAAGAGTTTAATACTCCTAAGTCAAATAAATAGAATCATCTGACATTTAACTTTCAGACATTAATATACTTCTTGATATACTTTCTGTAATGCAGAAATCATATTCAGAGTAGAAGTATGCATAATTTTATTCACTAGTAATTGTATCTTTTTCTCCAAAGCTTGACTAGAAAGTTTTCTTGCAAAAATTCTAACAAATATCCAATTGCATTCGCTTTAACATGTTTCACTTCTTAAATTTAAACATGAGTTGTAAGCCATACCTTTAATCTATGCTCTTTCAGTATTAGACATACACAGAATCACATACAAATTTATTTGTGCATGTTATTTGTAGAAAATAAACCTTATTTTAGAATGCTTATTACTGGCAATTTTTCTTCCTTTTAAATTCATTATTATGAATTTATTATAGATATATCTATATTGTGATGTCTATGCTTACTTAAAAGTATATTTTAAAAACATTTCAGTTTGACAAACAAGTGAGAATCTACAATGATTTCATATGATTATTTGGAAAAAACTCTAAGACAATCAGATACATTATATTATTTACATTTTGTAACTATACTATTGTTAATTGCAAATGACAGGAAATTAGCAATGTACACCAACTTCATATCCAATAGTTCTGTGAAACTTGCACTTAATATTTCAAATGCTTTTAAATGTAGACTTAGATTATAAAAATGTGTCTATAATTCATAATAACTGGTAAATTGCTGATTAAATTATAGAGCATTTAAAGGTGAGGCATTCAAGAGTTACTCATTCTTACTCAAACGCTTATTAAAGACTTCTGCATGTCAATTTTGGTTTGAGATTTTCAGACTACAGTAACAATAAGAACAAAAAAGAATTTTCCTTTCAAGAAGTTTCTGTGGTGGAGAGAATGTGAAAGTTAAATTCATCAATGAACCTTTACAAAAATTTCCACTTTTGGGAAGAATACTGTAGGAAGTAATGGGTTATGAAATAAGAGTGTAGGTGTCATAAGTCTTCATGGATTGCATGATGAGGAAAAGCCTATCTGTAAAGATATTTGATCTAAAAACCCAAATAATAGAAGGAAAGAATACCTTCTTCCCAGTATCTAAGGCGAGAAATTCTATTTCTGAGATAAATAATTGGTTGCATAAAAGGAAACACTACCTTGTAGTTTGCTGCTCTCTAATTTAGACATGGTGAATACTGTAGTCTCAAAGGAGATGGAGGGCAGTGGG